CAAGTCTTTTGGTTGCCGATGTCAGCTCTATTCGATCTCTTGCTAACTAAATCGTCTGCGAAGGCTACTTTTTGTATCCCTTTTTGTATAAGTCCCCCTCTGTTAATCGACATCTTTTATAATATTTTCTAATACTACACTAAACAGTACTGGAGATAGTAGATTCCCCTATCTTAATTCGTCTCTGATTAGAATTTTTTCCGTTGTTTTCTTGTTTATTTCAACTTTTAGTGTCTCTTGTAGTGTCAATTTTATCATCATCGTCAATCTTTTGCTAACCCCAAATGTATCTACTAAAAAAACTAAACTACTCTTGAATAATGGTATTTATATACTAGATATTTTAAATAGTTTCTTCTTCTTATTTTTTGCTTCTGACGATAGGAGGAAATATACCTCCTGAAACGTTAAACATTTTTTGATGATTAGGCAAATTTGTTTTATTAGTAACATACCACTGAGAAATTCGTCTCCGTGTCAACGCAGTGGCGTTTGCAAAAAATAACTTTTTTATTTTGCAAATTTTCTTAGAGAAGTTAATTGCAACCAATAATATTTCGGTGAAACTATTTTCTTATATTGGATACCAATTAAACTTTTAGTTACGTAATCGGGGGCGCCATTTTTAAATTCATTGTTGCCAACCATGGACATATTCTGCGCCCGGCTGACTAACTGGAATTTAAATTTCCCGCTGGGGATTCTGGTGGTAGCTCTGTTGTAAAAAAGTCAAGTTGCCACATTTATTTATTTATTTCCTGACATTTAATTTTGTATTACGAGTTTTTGGTTTAAATCAATTGTGTTTTTAAGCATACTGTGTGATACTTTAAGCTTAAATTTTTTTACTAGTAGACCTTGTAGTCGAATATTGTTCTTTTTAGAGCGAAGTGTACAAGAAAGCTTAATAGCCGTAAAAAACTCATCGCAACTTTATTAGAATATTTTGAACGGGAAAGCAGTAGTAATGGCAATGGCCCTTTATGTCCCTTAAATGCTGTTAAGGAGATGAGTTTTGTTGATGTAAATAATAAATGTTTATATATTTTATAATTAATTTCTTTTCGTTTCCTAGCATATATCCATTAAAAGAAAATATGTAAAAGTGGGCAATGACGTGACTAAAAGTTTATTTGATATGAACTATACAGATTCTGTTACCTATATAAATAACGACTAAATAGAAATGAAATTAAATGATTTCCATAAATTAATCTATTCACCATGTTTGTATGTCATTGTACAATCAATAGTATGCTTGTTGTGTGCTACTAAATATTATATTATTTTTAAAAAATCATTAAACAATACAAATAATAAATGAAAATAAAACATCAAAACTATATTTTATATTCTTTTATAGCTTCAGGCAATACATATAAAAAGCTTATTTATCTTTTTTTTCGTCCATTTGTTTCTATTCAGTCATACTCCCCCAGTTGACTGATTACCCAACTCATTCGTTTAAAAGCTGTATACACTACTCAGAGTGGCACTTGGCTACATTTAAAACGTTAAATAATCCCAAAGCTTATCTTTTGTTTTGTACAGTATATAAGTAGCTGCATTGTTTCTTTTGTTTTTATTCAATTGATCATTTAGCATGAACAATTATTGTTGGTGCTTACTTTTGCATAATAGAGATTTATTTTTTATTAGCATCAAGAATAATAATTTAAAGATGACACAAAATTGTCTTCATGGTCAAACTTTAGTCTAAAAGGAATAAGAAGTTTTTTTTTAAGATATTAGGAAGAGTTTAGTAATTTGTTTGGTATGTATATATATATATATATATATATATATATATATATATATATATATATATATATATATATATATATATATATATATATATATATATATATATATATATATATATATATATATATATATATATATATAATCCATTTGGCGTATTAAGTACACATGATATCAAGAAAATTAAAAAAAGAAATCAATACAAACAATTCAAAAATCAACAATCAGATGTAAGAGAAATATCACAACGTTACAGTAAAAACAAACAACTATAAATTTACACTACAAGATTTAGCTCTGCGATCCATTCTATAGCATCCAGTTCAGCCTCATGAAGACGATTTAAAGAGAACTTGTTAATGGGCACTCTGTTGCGATATGAAAAAGAGTGTGTTCAAAATGTCCGCAATGGTAGTTAGGGCTGTCGGTTAGTCCCCATTTGTGTGTCCAGAAGCGGGTTCTGCCATGGTTAGTTCTGAACCGATTGAATGTTGTCCAAGTTTTTCTTGGCAAGTTGAATCCGGGAGGGCAGAGTACTGGGTCAGTTGTCAAGTGATGAAGGTCAGGATTCTTTTGTGACCATTCATCTCGTCAGCACTCTTCAACCCGAAAGTTGGAATTTAGTAGCTGCTGCCGTAATACCCATGGCGGTTTTAGAGGCGATGCAAGAAATTTTCGCAATCATCATGGATGGGAAGATGAACATTGCTGGTGCACTTTTTCCACTCTCTGACTAGAGCCGTCTGTCTTCTCAAATGAGGGGGAGTAATATTTGATAATACGGGGAGCCACTGGATCGGAGTGCTTCTGATAGTGCCCGTTATAATTCCCATCGCGCTGTTAAGAAGAGTGTCAATAAGATGAGTATGATTGCTATTTATCCAGACAGGGCAGCAATATTCTGCCACCGAATATGTGAGGGCCATTGCAGTTGTTTTAAGTGCCCTGGCGTTTGCTCCCCAGCTGCTACCTGCGATCTTGTGCAGTATATTATTTCTAGTATTTATTTTTGCAGCCGTCTTAGTGAGGTGTGGCTTGAACGTGAGAGACCGATCCAATGTGACTCCTAAGTATTTTGGGTGAGAGTTTTATTTTACCAGTTGATCCCCAAATTTGACTTGCGGTACATACGTGGCTTGTAAGTTGTGAAGATGAAAGCACGAAACCTCAGTCTTAGCAATGTTTGGGCGAAGCCTCCACTTGTGAAAGTAGTCATTTAACATCCGCAAGTGTACTGATTTTTTGACTGAATATTTTCGCCTCTAGTGAAATCAGTTGTTTGGCAGGAAAGTGCAATGTCGTGATTGGCATTGTTTTTAATTTTGAAATGTTTACACAACGCCTCGTCAACTTGACCGTATACGACACGTGTCACTGTGACAGTTAGCATACAGTTAGTTTTGACGTAAGAAATCAAAATGTGATGTCGTCCGATCGTGACCAAATTTTCACCATCGAGTTTTTGTTCCTCTAGTTTTGATATTTTATTATTAATGATTTTGTTTAGTTTCAATTTTTTAATTTTGATACGCACTGTATGTAATCGAGTGTCCTATTTTCGAAATTCTTATTTTTCTGCAATAATTTTATTTCATTAAATGCACGTTTAGTGTTTACAATTAAGTCTTTTGGTATATTCTAATAGACTTGTGTAATTTTCTATCGCAATCGGCATGTAAAGTTTTAAACTAAATTATATTTTCTTCCTAAATTAGTTTGGTAACTTTTATCATCATTCTACCAATATTCGACTTCTTTGTGACTAAATATATTGCTTCGTCTTACATCGAACCAACAAAGCAGTATCCATATAATTAATTATCAGAGAAAGTTGGAACAAACTTTTAATTTACTTCCTAAGAACAAGCACTAAAAGAAATCTACATTTACGAAAGATATACTACCTTCAATTGAGTTGCTATGCTTTACTTTACTCTAAGTTTGTTATTTAAGATTGTTTTGTTTACCTTTAAATTAATTTTCTCCATTAATTTTGTGTTCTTATTACTCTAATAATTTCTTATTTTATACTTTTAAAAGTTTAATGAGAAATTATCGTTAAATATAGGAAATAATTTTGTTAAACCATGTATAGACTTAATAAGAATGATTTTGGTGTAAAAATGTTTAAATAAAAAAAATGAAAAATTTTCTTTTTATTAAAATAGTTTTTTTTAATTAAAATAGTAGTAAAATTATCTTTTAAATTATCTAATTTTCTAGAGGTTCCCAAATGATTGCGTTATGATTATAAATAAATTGAAAGAGATATTATTAATTGGATTGCTATTCGCATTTATGAAATATGGTAACAAAAAGCGTAACCCTTTTCAAGGTAATGAAATATTTTCTAAAGGATCGTTTCATAATAGAAACCTCAGAATATCATGCTATGAATATCACTACATCAAAAGCTCTGCGTTTATTAGTAGCAAATATTTCTTGTCACGCTAGTGCTAGTACAGAATTTTGAATAGATTTAATTTTGTTTAAAAGCATATTGAAAATTTACACGCTATAGAGTAATGAAAATGCAAAGATACCAAATGTTTTAAAAGTAAAGAAAAAAATTACAGAAGAAAGAGAGAGAGAGAGAGAGAGAGAGAGAGATTATTTTTGTTGGCATTTTCACAGATTTACCTATTTATTTAGAGACATAATGCATTTATATGAACAAATATTAACGAACTTAGGTTCAAGATTAGTTTTTCAAACAAATTTGTGACCATTAATGTCATAAAGTCTCTATTTCGAAGCAGTGATGGGCGGTAGATAAATACCCAACAGGTAGATAAATAAAATCTGGGTATATAGAGTGTTTCAAAAAACATGTGCTAACCAAAATTTATTTTTCAAATTAATATAGGTCCAATTCTGCTTTGTTTCATAGCTACAGGGTGTTAAAATCTTAATAATCTTTCGATTTATTGTAATTTTCTTCCAAGTACTTTTAGTGATACGAATGAAATTTTGAGGGTAAAAATTACTATAAGTATATTTTAATGCTAAAAAAGTGTCGATAAATTCATCAAGGACGTGCATATGAGTTATCAATCGACTATTTTTCAAAAAAACATGTGCGCCACTGACTTTTTTTATATCAAAATTATTTAGGCCGTTTAATGCCAATTAAAAGTTATTTCTTGATATTTTGTCGAATTCGGCCTTGTTGATGAGGTAAACGCAATTTTATTAATCACAATTATTAATAAAATTAAAAAATTATATATATACTTGTATTCACGTAAAACTTCCCAATATGGCCGACTTCAGAATGGAAGGCTTGAAAACCAAAAATACCTAGATTCAAATCCATAGCTCAAATCGATTCTTCCAACCTTCCTTGCATTTCTTCTGTGGTAGATTATTCTGATCGACGATCGACGCTGCGGCCCGTGTTTGTGATTTTGAATATTTGTGTTTTGAGTTTTCTATTTGATTTTGTTCTGTGTTCTTTAATTTAGCTTGTAGTTCTTGTTATATAGTTATCGTTTTGTGTTTGTGTTGTTTGTATTTTTATAGTATTCGGTAGTTTAATAATATGGCCAGTACAAGCTTTTTTTTTAAAGGTAAGATCATAACCTATAACGCATCTCTGTTAGTTTTATTTAATTTAATATTTTTAGAAACATTTAGCAATAATCCGTTGCCAAATATTTCGGATAGTGATAATGAAAATCAAATGGATCAGGTATAAATAGTTTTAAGTGAAGCATTAATCATAAACAAAGTGATGACATTGTAATCACCTTTAAGAATGATGTTTTGTTTATATATAAATAATCTTCACTGCTCAAGAACTCAGGAATAGCCAGGAAGATATTCAAAATGTGTAAAGCACTTAATTTTTTTTAGGAAGCTATGTCTCATCCACAAATTTGTGGGAATAAACTAGCCCAGATATTTGTAAAAAATGTCTACAATTATTTTGTGAAGAATTTTCCTCATATAAGTCCCCTTCAGGTTTGTAATTGTCATATTTTTAGGATATGTAGATTAAAACTTATATTTCAGGAAACAGCACGGGCTTTACAAATTAGCTGCAAGTCAGTTTCGAAATATAAAGAAGGTCCAAAAGACGAGTTAGTTGGGAAGACTTTAAGACAGAAGAAGAAATTGAAGACAGCTGATGTTGGGAATGGCACCAAAGACCAAATAAGATGTGAAATATACAATATGTACAATAATTGTAAGTAGTTTTTATGAATCTATTTATATTGCATTGTTTTTATATTTTATGAAGTATATTGTTTTTACTTTACAGCATACACAAAAAAAATTAGGAAATACAATTATAAACTTAAAACACTTAAGGTTTGTAATAGATATAGTTAGAATATCAAACAACAGGTATGTTGTAATGAGTTAGTAAATGCATGGTTCATATTCCAAGTTATTTCATGTAGAATTTCTCAGATAGTGCATTTATAAAAAAAAGAGATTAGAAAAATTAGATTTCATATAGTTATTTCATTTAGAATTTAATTAGAAAATGTGTTCATAACTTTACGGATGGCTTATATTCCAAGTAGTTATTTCATGTAGAATTTCTTAGATAATGTGTTTATAACTATATTATGAATGACTCATATTCCATGTAGTTATTTCATTTAGAATTTAATTAGAGAATATGTTGACAACAATGCTATGCATGGCTCATATCCCATGTTTCCAATTCATGTAGAAATTATTAGTGCATGTGTTCATAACTATACCTATTTCTAACATTATCTATGCTTAAATCATGAAAATAGAGTTGTGCCTTTGGCATGTGTGCTTGCAGGAATTATCAATATCATTAGGTGATAATATAATATATTTAACCATTTTTCAGTTGCATAGTATTTAATTTATAGTAAAATATATTTAGTATATAATACCATTAAACTTTTAATTATAATATGTAAATAATATTTTAATAGGTACGTCTAGAAATTTTAACCAAAGTGCATAAGGCACATGTCAAAAGCAGGAATCTAATTATATGTTATGTGGTGTAACACTTTAACTTATAGCATATGAGACATGGTTGCTGTATTTATACATATTTATTTAGATTTACCAGTGACTATAAAATCCCTTCAAGCCAGCTTAATGGAAAAAGAAATTTACGGTGGTAGTACGACCAGCCTTGGTCGTCTCTTAAAAACTATTGGTTTTTTTTTACAAAAAAGATGACAATCGCAGGGCTTTAATGGAGTTGCCTCACATAGCACATTTGAGAAGAAATTTTCTGCAAAGGTACTTCTTTTTTGTAACTTATAACCTAGTTAACTGATTAATTTCATAGATTTATTGCGAATGAAGAGTTGGGTATAAATAAAAAACCCTGCATATATATTGATGAAACCTGGGTATTTTCAAATGGTTCATTTAGAAGATCATGGCAGGATGATGATGTAAGATCTGTAAGAAAATCCTCTGGAGAAGGACATAGGTATAAAGCATTACATTTATATGTACATCTGAAACTGGGTACAAGTGCATATATAATTCCAACATACATGCTAACTCTAACTTAACCTCTAAGTTATTATAATAAAAAATCACGCAAGTGGTGTTTAAGTTCGGGTTGCCAACCGTCCCCTATTCCAGAGGACAGTTTTCTTTTTGATCTCACTGTCCTCTTTTGTCTCGCGTATTGAAAAAGTCCTGTTTTTTACATACCAAACTCAATATCTAAAAAATGTTTGTGTATCGCCATCCAATGCTTTAAAAAATTGTTAATCTGCGTCTTTCGCTAGTTCATTCACTCATTTGTACAGAAAATATGATGAAGAAATATTTTTGTAAAAGAAATATTTGTGGAAGCGATAATCTTGTTTTGAAAAAAAAGTTTTGTTAAAAATGGTTAGTTTTATTTAAACAAATTTTGAGTATATATATTGTTAAGAAAGTAAGAGAGACGATCAATTGCATACCATTAACATAACTTTTTGGTAAATTCTAGACATTTGGGCGAGGTTTCAAAAAATGTTTCACCTGTGCTACTTTTTTACCCTCTCGTCCTCCATTTTTTATTTTGAAAGTTGGCAACCCTAGTTTATATTGTTTGTGTATATGTTACGGTTAAGGTCCGATGTCCGGTTAATGTCGACATTACCCGGTTAATCTCGAGAATAACACACAACAAAACAGCCAAAAACATAACCTAACCCAAACATTAACATGTTAATGTCGACATTAACCGGACATCGGGCTTTAACCGTAACATATACAGGGTGCTACAAATTCGAGGTACGAGCATTGGTATCTCGTAACCCGTAATAGATACGAAGATGGTTAAATTGGGGCAAAGTTGCGCCTTGAAATTTTCACCAAGATGCCATCAAAAAAGTTCTAAAAATTTCAAGGATTGCTGAGTTTTTTGGAAAAAACGATATTTTTTGCAAATCAATTTTATTTTTTCATGTCGTTACTGTTTAAAAAAATCAATAAACTAATTGCACATTTCGATAGCCACTTTATTAGGGCTATCTGATAGTATTTATAGATTTTTAAATTATCTGATAATTTGTAAGATACAGAGGCCAACTTGATTTTTCTAAATACGGACCTGCATTTTGTATTTCAGATTTTTAAAGAAATCGGCCTCCTGAATACAATGATGTGCCACACTTAATATTTTTTTTGTTTCGGAAATTTGAACACAATTTATTTAAACTAATTTCAAGTCCGGCTTTGCTTTTTTTTAAATATTTAATCTATTCATTGTTACAATATTGAGGAGTTTTAAAACTGAACAATGACGTGAGATAAACCATTAAGTACGGAAAATCAAATACAATAAAATAATAAAAAAAAATAAATAAGATAAATATAATATAAACAATAAAATAATTTCCTCGGACGATGGATTGGGAATGGTGGAGTAGCATAATGGCCAGCGAGGTTCCTGAACCTGTGTGTTGACATCATTTGTTAAAGTGAAATCAATATAGGTATAGGTACCTCATCATTTACAACAAAGTGTACAAAATGCATTCGGAAGTCGGAAGTATAAGATCTTTTGAAAGGGCTATACATAAAATTAAACGAAAAATAAATGTGTGCAATAGGGAGGGTGGTATTAAATAAACCCTTTTAAACATGTAGAGCATTAGAAATTTGTTTGTAGGAGTTGAGGTATTTATAATAACTACGATTAATATTATGCATATTATTAGATCATACATTGAGATTTCAAATTCACAAAAAAAGTTAAAAATGATATATTTTAAATTGCTGACATGGATATTATTTATTTAAATCTTTTAATTGGCTCGATTTTCCTTATTGTTGCCATGAATATAATCAGGTTAAATAATTTAAAAATCCAGAGTCGGGCTTGAAATTATATTAAATAATAATTAAACAGTTTTGTTGTTAAAGTATCTAAAACAAAAAAAAATAAACTGTGGCATATCGTTATACTCAGGAGACTGAATTCTTTCAAAATCTTAAATAAAAAATTAAGGTCCGTATTTAAAAAAATTAAGTTGGCCTATGTATCTCACAAATTATCAGATAATTTGAAAATCTAAAAATACTGTCAGATAGCCCTGATAAAGTGGCTATGAGAATGTTCAATTAGTTTTTTGATTTTCTGTAAAAAAGTCTCTGAAAAAGTAACAACAGGAAAAAATAAAATTGATTTTCAAAAAAATCCGTTTTTCTAAAAAAACTCAGCAATCCTTGAAGTTTTTGAAACTTTTTTGATAGCATGTTGGTAAACATCCCAAGGCGCAACTTTGCCACAATTTAGCCATCTTCGTATCTATTAGGCTTTCCGAGATACCAATGCTCGTACCTCGAATTTGTAGCACCCTGTATATCTCTATTAAGAAAGAAAAAAAGCAGAATAATTATTTTATTTCAAACTTTTTGCCCATAATTTCACGAGGATGTAGTTTTACAGTTTTTGAATTTAATGTGTAATCATGAAGTTGATTTTAAAATTTTGTTATAAACAGGCATGACCCTTAGTACCCTTTTTTCAGTAAGTTCTGCCTAATTCAATATCATGCAGAAGTAGAAAAATATAAATTAAATAGATAATGTGCTCTACATGTTAATATTTTACTTCCTTCACAAATAAGAATTTACACTATAATAATATTATTAATTTCTTTTTTAGATACATTGTTCTCCATGCTGGATCTCATCTGGATGCTGGATCGTCATTCTAACAAATGCATAATTAAATTATCGAACTAAGACCCAAGGAAATAATGTCATCTTTCCATTACTGAGAAATGATTATCATCCAATTTAGAGTCAAATTTTAGATTAGTTTTTGTTACATGTGGAATTAGCCTGATGTGACCATTTTTAGATATATTTCAAAATTATAAATTCTGTCACCACATCCAGAATAGTGTTAAATTATTTTTAGCAGTCGGGAACAATATATTACTTTAAATATTGGATTCCTACTACAACCATACCCCAAGCTAAAGACAAGCCAAACATTTAGTTTATAAACCTCAACTTAAACAGATTTCCTACAGCACCTTACAGATTTCTTTACTGAGCATAATCTGCATAGATCTGAAAAATGGACCTAACTGGAAAATACAGATTCATTATTGATAATGGAAAATGCAGTGAAAATAATAAGGCACCTCCTGTGTGATTGTTCAGTGCAAGTCTACATGAGGGAGACAGAAGAAAAAAGTATATTAAAAAAGCTTGGGGACACTGAGTAATTGATAGATCAGAGATGAGAGAGAGTTTCACAAAAGCTTTGAAAATGTAAAAAGGTTGGTGATGAGAAGCCACTAGCCTAAATGACAAAATATTACGTCTATCTCTCAAAATACCAACAAATAACAAGTATTTGGATAGTGTCTGGTATAGTCTGTGAAACGAATAACTTTGAATTTGACAGTTCCCGCGCGCTTTTCTAGTGTTAATTTTATTAGGTTAGCAACTTGCGGCCATGCTGACGCAATGCCGTCTCTAATACAACAGCCTCGGAGTGAGATTTATGACCTCACGCTAGTTAAATACAACGGATTAATAAATATGTTGTAGAATACATGGAAAACATTTCCTCGTATTTTTGGTTCGTATTTTAAAACTGATATAGTTTACATGAAATATACATAATATACAGTTAATAACTTTTTTAATAATATTAATTCATTATTATTTATTGTTTTTGTTTATTTTTAATATTTTGTTTATTTTTTAAAATTATTATTCTTAACACTAACTATCTACATTGACTATGGCTGAAATCGTACTCCATCCTAACCTAAATCCCAAGAAAATCAAAAATTTTAGAATAATTTTACATATAAAATGACAGCGATCTTTATTTTATAGCCATCGCTGACGCCTTTTTTCTATGATATTGTATTATTTGCAAATATAATTTTTCGAACATTGATACTTGCAAAATATACATATAAATTTTGTGAATGCAAATAATAATACATCACTATTAGTAGATATTGAATGTTTTTTGTTAAATTAGATCGATTTTCAAACACCAAAATTTAAAATATATTTTACATTTTACCCATTATCTTACGTACCTATTCATTATTTGTATATTGTAAAACATTTGCTGCATTTGTATGGTTTATAATTTATTTGCCAAAGTATTTATTACTATAAAGAGGTATATATATTGTATTTATTAACTGTATATTATATATATTTCATGTAAACTATATCATTTTTAAAATACAAACCAAAAATACGAGGAATAATTATGTTTTCCATGTATTTTACAACATATTTATTAATCCTTAGTATCTAATTAGCGTGACGTCATAAATCTCGCTCCGTGGCTGTTCTATTAGAGACGGCATTGGTTTGATATTTAGAAATGTCAAACGCTGATGACATTTTACTTTTGGCAATTATGACATTTCGGGTTGATTTTTGCAAGAAGAGGAAGAACTGTCACTTGTTTTATTATTTTCCTTTTCTATTTCACGAAAGTAAAAAGAGTTACCTATCTGATTCGTTCAGGCACTCAATTTAAAGAATATCAGTAACTTTTTTGACAGAGGGATTTTATATTTGCCATATTGGTAAAAAATAACGGTCAAAATTCAAAGTTATTCATTTTATAGACTATAGTTCCCATAATTAAAAAACGTTATTTATTGCCAAGCTTGTAGAGCAGTGTTAGTTTTTATATGTAACATTTGATTTATTAATTCACTTAGAATTTTTGAATGGAGTGGTTGATGTTGCCAGATCATCTATTACCCCTGTAGTTCTTTGCTAATGAATTGTCTTCTGAAAGAGTTGATGTTCTCAGGGGGGTGACAGTGAAATAGGAAAATTGGAAACAGTTATTAGTGTCATTCCTGTCATTCTCCTCACGACAAGTATGGCCGCCTAGACAAGGACAGCATTGTTTTTGTCTAACTATTGTCTAACTTCACAGTTTAGAATTGACAGATTTCAGTTTCAGAGACAACTTCAGATTTGTTCTAGAACAAATTCGAAAATATTCGACGCCAATACGTGTGTTTATTTACAAAATACTGTAAGTCATGCTTATACCTTAACTAATTTACGTTAAAAGTACATATAATTAACTAATTGGTATTGAAACAATACAATCCTCTATATTTTTATACTTATTTAGTCACGTTGTTCCATATTTCAAATAAATATATGTGAATAAATAATTTTTTGGTTTTATTTATGAAAAGTAAAAATACAAAATACATTTGAACTGAAAGAGGACCCGCCATTGAATAACCGGAAACGGAAATGAAAATTAAGCCATCATGTCCTTATCATGTCAACCTGTCAATTGGAAAAATTGATTTCTCCAGACGACAACGAATTTTTGGTGGCGTATCGTGTTGCCAGATGATTTAACACAGAGTTGACAGTTCTTGCTAGTTAATTGTCTTTATGGATGTTCTAACACATTATCTTAAAGCAGTACTTCACATTGTAAATAAAATATATACATGCATATACTAATTATTTATCTAAATTGTCTTGAATGTGTTGAAGTAACCTATTGATTCAAAAATTATTATTTATTTGTTTTACAGGTACTGCTCGTTTGAAAGGAAAATTATTTTATAAGCAAAATTACGTATTATAGTACGCTCTATACTTAACCAAATTCTTTATACTTCTCTAGTTGATGCATATGCATTTTTATTAGGTGTACAAGTCATTTCTGATTCCAAACCTAGTTTTAAGTTACTTTCTAATGTTTTTCTGGCAATTTAAAATAAGTGAATATTAAAAACATTTTTTGGCTTTTCTGATAAGAGTGACATTGGGCTTAATCTGGTCAGTTAGTGGTAAGTATTAATTTTTATTTTATAAGTATTGGGTTTATAAATAACTTAGTGACACCAAAATAGGTATATTATTAATAAAAATTAAATTATGATAATAAACATGAATGGCATGACAATAAATCTGTATTAGTTGGGCTGCACTCTAACTTACAGTTGTAAATATTACTTTATATTCATTCTTGCAGTTTGCATGGATTATGGATGACTATTTTTGTATGTTGATATTTTAAATAAAGCATATTTAATGAGTTTTTAAGCATTTCTTTTTTTCCTTATTATGAGTGAAATGAGTAGCTATGAGATATTTAGCTTAAGAAATAAAATTAATATAGTTTAATATAAATAATATTAAACTGTATTATAAATATAGTTTATTATATAAAATATATAAATAATTTTGGAATATAAGTTAGATTAAAAACAAGTAATAGAAGTTTCATATTGTATATTAGATCTGTAGAGTCTATACATCTGTACCGTAGAGTTAAACAATCGTAAGTCTAAGAATCAAAGTTTATATAGAAACTTTCATAAGTTATACATAATGTATTACCTTATATATATATATATATAACTTTTTTGCTAAAGACTTGTACAGTTTAACAGTATATAAAAGAACTATTTAAATAAGAGTTTTAATAAAATATGTAGCTGTTTTTGTACACTTTTGAATTGATTCAGTTTCTGATTAACTGTAATGAAATATAAACAAATTAAGAGAAATTAGGCGATCTAACAACTCTATAACAATGAAACCCATCATCCTCTCGTTAAAACATGAAAACAAAAATTCACTTTCTATAGTTCTTACGTCCCTTTAACTGATATATAAGAAAAAATGGAGTTAATATTCTCACTGGGAAAGTTTATAAAATACCTTTAAATAAAATCTCTTGAGATCTGCGGTAAAATACCTTTATTCTTATTTAAATAATTTGAATAATTCAATGTTTTTATTTATGACAACCACCTAATAACCAAACTTTTAACCTTGTGGCGGATCGATATCGACAATCCCATCCATACTAGGGCTGTGCATAGAATCCCGAGCGAAGTCTATCGGTGCCAAGAAGAAAAGAGGAAGAAGAGCGGCATCGGCTGACAAATAAGACGTAACGTGTTTTTCAATAATTATTTTATTGTAGAATAATTATTTAGTTGTGTAATTAAAGAGCAGATTGAACACGTCCCTTTATTTTATGGACTTTTGAGTTGTGAAAAATCTAAACAGTAAACCCAGCTGATTTCAGATTATCATATTCACACCCAGAACAACCATATTGGTGACCCCGACGTGATCCAAGAAGCTTGAAATTACAATCAATACCAACCAACCAAACATGCAAACAAACAATCCAGAAGCTAGCACTACTCAAACAAACAATTCCAATCAATCAACAAACAACCAACCAATAAATGAACTGTGCAGAGTCAGTTTCAAACCCCCCGAATTCTGGAAAGCTGAGCCAGAACTATGGTTTTACAGAATTGAATGTCAGTTCCGAACTGCTGGGATTTCAACTGACGATTGCAAGTTCGACTATACAGTTGCCAGCCTAAACTGCGAAACACTTACGGAAGTAGCCGACCTTATACGCAGTCCACCGGCAACAGACAAGTATTCAGCACTCAAAAATCGTTTAATTAGCAGATTTGCAGATAACGATACAGTCAGAATCCAAAAACTGCTTGCAGGAGTTGCATTGGGAGATCAGAAACCTTCACAACTCCTACACAAAATGCAGAGCCTAAATAACAATAAATTACAAGACTCTGTCATTAAAACTCTTTGGTTAGAGCAGTTACCATCTACAATGAAGGCCATATTAATGGTAAGTGGCGAAGATCTAACAAAATTAGCTGAAATAGCTGACAAAATAAATGAAACATTAGACAGACCAGCAAACCTCTATGGTATGTCTAGTTTGGAAGATCAAATTAACCAATTGAAGCAACAAGTCAATAAATTAACAACAGAACTCAAGAACAAGCCACAGAAGCAAGGATCTTCACAGTCCACTAATGAAAATTGTTGGTACCACGAAAACTTTGGGAAGAAAGCAAAGAAGTGTGAAAAACCATGTAAATTTATGGGAAACGAAGCAGGGAGTCGATAGATGCGGCAATTCGATCTCCTACAACACCAAGCCGCCTTTTTATATCAGACAAGAAATTTAGATTACAGTTTCTAATTGATACTGGCGCAGATGTCAGTGTCCTTCCGTTATCAAGGTTCCCAGGCAATTCTGATCCAAATTTCAGTCTTTTATCAGCCAATGGATCACTAATTAAAACTTTTGGCAAGAAGGAATTAACTATCGATCTCAATTTAAACAGAAAATTTACGTGGACGTTCGTTATAGCACAAGTTACCCATGCTATCATTGGAGCTGATTTTTTGGCCCATTTTGGTATTCAAGTTGATCTAAAACACAGAAAACTTATTGATTCTTATACTACAACAACACAATACTGCCAAGTCAGAGACACAGAAGTTTTGGGTGTAAAGGCTATCCATTTAGCAGATATCATTACAGAATTGTTAACAAAATATTCAAATATACTTGGACCCATTTGTCAAACACAAACTGAAATAAATACCTTTCATTTTATTGAAACAAAAGGCCCACCTGTCTATTCAAAACCCAGACGTTTATCACCAGATAAATTATCTATTGCTAAAGAAGAATTCCAAAAGCTCATTGAACAGGGTATTTTACGACCATCGTCATCTAACTGGGTAAGTCCATTACATTTGACTAAGAAGAAAAATGGTACTTGGAGAGTTTGTGGCGATTATCGTCGACTCAACGCAGTCACGAAACCTGATCGCTACCCTATTCCACACATACAAGACATAACATATGATTTACACAACAAAAGCATATTCTCAACCGTCGATTTAACTCAAGCATTTCACCAAATTCCAGTTAACACGGATGATATTCCCAAGACAGCAATTATCACTCCTTTTGGTCTATTTGAATATGTAAAAATGCCATTTGGTTTACGGAATGCAGCACAAACCCTGCAGAGATTCATGGACCACATTTTTCGAGACCTTTCATACGTCTATGTTTACATCGACGATATTCTTATTGCATCCAGAACTCGTGAAGAACATCAACAACACTTAGACACTGTTTTCAACAGACTTTCAAAATATTGTCTCACAATCAATTTAGAAAAATGTAAATTTGGCGAAAAAGAAGTAACATTTCTAGGAACCATAATCACATCTAAAGGAATAAGACCATTACCTGAAAAAGTAGAAGCCATTAGAAATTTTCCGAATCCAACAACAATCCAGGAACTTCGACAATTTTTGGGCATGATCAATTTCTATAGAAGATGGTTACCTAATGCTGCTCAAGAAATGTTACCCCTGACTAATTTGTTACAAAATGTAAAATCAAAATCAGCTAAAATAGATTGGAATCAAGAACTCGAAGACGCTTTTAAGAAAATAAAACAATTGTTAGCAGATTCAACAGAACTAATCTATCCTGACCCAAATGACAAATTAGCTCTAGCAGTAGATGCTTCCAGCAAAGCTATTGGAGGAGTTATACATCAAGCTACTCAACATGGAATAGTACGACCTATTTCATTCTTTTCCAGAAAACTGTCCACCACTGAACAAAACTACAGCACATATGATAGAGAGTTATTGGCAATGTATAGTGGTGTGCAGCAGTTTCGTCATTTCTTGGAAGGAAGGGAATTTACAATTTACACCGACCAGAAACCCTTAATGTATGCCTTTAAACAAAAGCATGAAAAAGCTTCTCCACGCCAAATCAGACAATTAACATTTATTAGTCAATTTACCACTGACATCCAACATATAAAAGGAATAGAAAACATAGTAGCAGATGTTTTATCCAGACCAACCATTTGTACCATAGAGCAGATCAATTACAATGACATTGCAAGCAAACAAAAAGAAGACCAGAATTTACTAAATATTATAAACAAAACAGTCAAATCCAGTTTGCAACTTCAACTTATCAAACTTCCAGACAGCGATGAACCATTATACTGTGATTTAACTGACCAAAGAATCAGACCTTATATTCCACAGGACTACACAAAAAGAATTTTCAGAAAGTTTCACGATATTTCACATCCAGGGCAACGTGCAAGTCAAAAATTAATATCAAGCAGATTTGTTTGGACAAATATGAGAAAGGATATTAATATCTGGGTAAAAGAATGTATTAAGTGCCAAAGATCCAAAGTAAACAAACATACCCATTCACCATTACTTAAAATTGAGGTACCTAAGCAAAGATTTTCTCATATACACATGGACATTGTAGGACCATTACCACCTTCCAATGATTATAAATACTTATTAACAATAATTGATAGATTTACTAGATGGCCAGAAGCGATACCTATCAAAGAAATAACAAGTGAAAATGTTGCAAAAGAATTGATAGAAAAGTGGATTGCAAGATTTGGAATACCTCAGAAAATAACTACAGATAGAGGTAGGCAATTCGAATCGTACTTATTCAAACATCTCACTAATTTACTGGGCATTACTCATATCAAAACCACTGCTTATCACCCTCAAGGCAATGGAATGATTGAACGTTTTCATAAGACACTTAAAAATGCCTTAATAGCAACAAATAACACTAAATGGACTGAGAGTTTACCACTAATCCTACTTAGTATACGAAACACTTTAAAAGAAGACATACATAGTACAGCAGCCGAAATGGTTTATGGCACAACACTAATGCTACCAGGTGAAATTTTCAGCAGTTCCCAACAACAAATCGATGAAGTGGATTTCATTAAGAAACTAAGAACAACAATGAGGGACTTGAAACCAGTCAACGCAAGCAACCATGCCAATCACAGACCATTCGTGCATTCGGATCTTTTGCAAACGCCTTGCGTTTTTGTAAGACAGGACCAAGTAAGACCACCTTTATCTCCACCATATGCTGGTCCATTCAAGGTATTGTTCAGGAACGAAAAATTTTTCAAGATAGATGTCAATGGGCGTACAGAAAGTATATCAGTAGATAGATTGAAGCCAGCATATGTTTCCAATAGCAGAGAAATACAGGGAGAACATTCTTATGCATTACCATACCTAGAAGAAATATCAAGCATAGAAACATCAAGAAAAGATGCCACCCGCCATTGTCAAGAAAAAGACGCCCTTCACCATATCAAGAAAATTACTCTCAAGACCGCCACTTCCAGATGTATCGTAAATTCACCGTTGGCGAACTCACTACGGGGGGGCTATGTGGCGGATCGATATCGACAATCCCATCCATACTAGGGCTGTGCATAGAATCCCGAGCGAAGTCTATCGGTGCCAAGAAGAAAAGAGGAAGAAGAGCGGCATCGGCTGACAAATAATGGTGGGTTCATACAGCCAAATAAAATAAAATAAGAATAAAATAAAATAAAATAAGAAAGTTGGTTATATGGGATACCGTACATGCGTTCATACAGCCAAATAAAATAACAAATAAAATAAGAAGTCTTTATCTTTTAATTTCTTGTTTTATTTTATGTGAAAACGGCTTTGCGCACGCTTAATTCTAACCTACAAATATTTTCAGTTTGATTTAATTTATTTTATAATTTCACATAAGTAAAATGTATAATATAGTAGGCAACGAATAAATAAATATACTATAAATAGTAAAATTACTATAAACAATCGTAAAAGTTAACTTTTATCCAGCCTCATCGTACTGCGCATGAGCAAATATATATTTCTTATTTTATTTTATTTGACTGTATGAACGCACACAAATAAGAATTCCTTATTTCTTATTTTATTTTATTCTTATTTTATTTTATTTGGCTGTATGAACCCACCATAAGACGTAACGTGTTTTTCAATAATTATTTTATTGTAGAATAATTATTTAGTTGTGTAATTAAAGAGCAGATTGAACACGTCCCTTTATTTTATGGACTTTTGAGTTGTGAAAAATCTAAACAGTAAACCCAGCTGATTTCAGATTATCATATTCACACCCAGAACAACCATAACCTAACTGCTTTAACGTCAACTTGACAATCCCGAAAAATATTATTAACCAAAGAATATAAGTTCTGAATTCGGTAACGCCAACTTATTTTTCATTAAAAAAAAATACCAATTTTCGTAACTAGGTCGGCCATATTGAGGAACTTTTAAAAGAATTGTACTATAGTTTATCTAATTTATTATTAAATATTACTACTATTAGTTATTATCACTATTAGTCCATCCTACAGCAATTTTAAATAAAAAAAAAATTGGCGCCGGGAGGCACATATAGCCGCCCATACTAAAATATGTCAATAAAAAGTTGGTAGGCAGTTCTTTTAGTTTCAAAGTAAAGAAATTTTTCCAATTTTTTTTTATCTCAAAAACTGCGACTTTGACTGATTTTGATGTTATTACAAATTTTGTTGCAAATATTATTCCTAATCTTAAATTGAAACCCGCGTTTCGCTAACTACTGTAATTTTGGAGTTACGATTTTTTTAAAATTTTAACCCCCTCCCATACCCCCTTACCAACCCCCCACCCCCACCAAAAACTAATGGCCAGATTCTCGGGTGCCACAGCATTTTTGTGCCAAATTTGGTTAAAATCGTTTTAGCGGTTATTGAGTTATCGTGTTACGGACAGACGGACAGACGGACAGACGTACAGACGTACAGACGTACAGACGGACAGACGGACAGACGGACAGACAGACAGACACCATAAAAATATTTTGTGTTTAGGTCATTTATGACCCAAATAACTCATTTTGAGTGAAATTTGAAAAACTTTTTTTTTCCGATCTTAATAGCCTACCATACCTGTTGGTATGGTCGGCTAAAAATAATGTTTTTTTAATATAATTACAAAAAGCCTAATTTAAAAAAGTTTTACCATCCTATAACCCTAAAACTATGCATTTTTATATCCATGTTTATAGGAACTTTTTTTTCATATTTTTGATGAGGAATCAATGAGTACTTATTTAAAACTTTCGCAAGATAATGAATGATAATCAAAATTTTTTTAAAGGTTGCTATTAGACTTCTGTCAAGGCAAATTAATAAAATTGCGTTTATCTCATCAAGGGGGCCGAAATCGACAAAATATCAAGAGACAACTTTTAATCGGCATTAAACTGCTTAAGATACACTATTTCGCTAACAAGAGAAAAAAAGTCAGTAGCGTACGTGTTTTTTTAGAGAAATAAAATGTAAATTTAAACCTTAAAAGCCGTTCGTTAAAAATATGTATCACCAGAGATCACTTCCCGATCAGTTCCCGATCAGCCCGAGATATTTGAGGCGACAGGCTGAAAATGCAGAATTGCATTATTTGCTAATTTGTATTAGTTTGAATTAGAGTTTGAATTAACTCTGCCGGTTATTGCACTATTTTGTCTCTAATTGACTAATATATTAATATATACGTTTTTTAATGTGAGTTGCTCGTCTTAGTGATTACAACGTATTAAGTAAATACCTAAAAAGTGGGCAGTGACTTGTTGATTGATATGATGATTTAGAGGGACCATGCATCATCAGAGGACTTCCCTGGTAAAGTTTTTCGAATTCGAATAATTTCTAAATAAATTGTGTACTCGTATAGTCGAAAAGTAAAGCAACCTGTTACAAATTTCATTTTGTTTTATTTTTATAGGATGGGTAGAAAAACAAAATTTTACCATACAGAGTAAAATATGAGACAAAATAACCTGAGGTCGCTTTGATAAAAATTTACTGTTGCAATAGCCCTATGTAATAGGTACCGTATGATCGAAAAAAAGCGGCGTCCAGTTGGCTTGAAAATGATGATCGATGACATTTCCCATATATAATTTTACATATAAAATGACAGCGATCTTGCTCTATAATCTTAGGTTTACAAACTATTTGTATTTGTAATTGATTTTGTCATTATCAAAAGTAATTTAATTTTAATAAAATTTTAATATTTAGGGAAAATTAACTGAAACCTGTCAGATACACTGTCTAATCTATTTCCCGCGTATTTTATCATGTTCACTTTTTCTTTATGTGTATAACCAATAAATTATTACTAGTACTGAATATTAAAATTTTATTAAAATTAAGTTACTTTTGACAATGACGCTGACAACTTAAGGAATGTCGGTTTTCGTGTTTGATTGTTACCTATTCAGTTTTTAATTTAAAAATCGATTAAGTTTTTCTCAAATTACCTAAAATCGGCTTGTCCAGAATTGTTCAAATTTGGCATGTGTGTTTACCAAACGTAGACCTTTAAAAAGTCTATTTACGACTTCGCTATAAAATCCATAGGGGAGCCAATATCTAGACAGTTCAAATTTTGCATGGGATTTCCTATGTTCCCAACGACGATGCAACACCCGGTATACATACTTAAGCAATAATATATCAATAAGTTAAATTCACTCCTTTTACCACTTTTTAAAAAATGAAATTTTTCAAATATGAATTATCATGGAAATCCCGCATATATAGTGCTTCAAATAAATCAATAGTGTGATATATGCTGAATTTTATGCTGAACCCAATTCTGTACAGAAAAATGGCAATGCGATTGCAATTTTAAAGAAAATATTTTTTTTTAGGATATGCACTTTTTTATATAGAACTTTTTTTTCATATATTTGTCAACTACGAAGATATTGGACTTCCTCGTACTAATGGTCACCCTATATACATACTAATAAAAATTCTCTTCTAATGTGCCTCACCATCTTCCAGTGCTACAAGCCGCCCCTGATACCAGTGTATATCAGAAAGTATATCTACAATGTTCATCAGTGCATGGGTATATACACCATCTCGGTATATACTATTTTGGAGTAATAAATTTTTATATCAGTATAATTGTATTTCCTTTTAGGACTAATTTAATTCATTATCGACTTTCTTTTTGTGTTTATTTTGTTATTTTGATGCTTTTACTTTCATATTTCTCTCAGTGTGTGCTTAATTTTTAAATTGTTTATTCTTAATGTTATTTTTTTTAAATTTGTTAAATTTTAAACTGTTTAAACTTTTTTTTTCTCTATTTTAATTTTTTAATTATTATAGTAACAAAAGTGTGTGCTAAAAACACATAGAGTCGATATTGAGTCCACCAATAATATAGAACCATTCAATACGTAAATCACTATGGAAACTGTCGCAAACATATCAACGACTAAATTGAATGTTTACTGTCACAAAAAATTAAATTTGAAGCCACACCTGCGGAAGATAAGACTGGCGGAAAACGCTGCATTCCGAACGTCATATTTACCTGTCCCGCTGGGAGCAGGACCAGATTTGAGTTGTTTGGCAAAAGCCTGCTACACTTATCAGACCTTGGTGCATTGCCTGGAAACTTATATGGGGAAATTTTGATAAAATAATTTAGTACACACTAAAAACACGGTATGTCGCTAGTGGTAGGAAAAAATTTTTTTAAAGGTTACTAGTTGATTTGGTTGCCTGTGATATGCATATACAGAATGTTTCCTAATTAATCTAAAAAATAAAAAATCGTTAGAAAACGAATTAAGGCGGGCTCTTAGAAGTATATTTATTTTTTTCTCGACAACCGTTTGATGAACAAGAAAAACTCAAAAGATCAATTTTGTTGAAAAAGGATGGCCAATCAAGAAAAAAATATATTTTCTTTAAAAAAGCAGTGGTGTACCATTTATGTTAAGCAAAAAAAAACGATTTTTTTTTTCATTTTTAACACCCTGTAGATCAGAAAGGAAGTACTTTAGACCCAATGGTTATACATATAAAAATTGTTTTAAGAACACATAAGGAATCACACCATAATTTTTTTAGACTAATTTGAAAACACCCTGTATATTGTCAACTTGACAATGACTGCTGATAAATCAAAAAATACCTTTTCAGTGAAAAAAGCCTGATTCTCGCAGGAAAAATTTTGATTTTTATTGAATTTGGGCCTGCGTTTGCAAATACTCGTTTGTTTTTTAAATATCATAGTCAGAAATAGTTTTATTATTTATTAACTGTAAACATGGTGTTTTCTTGTTGTGTTGCATCTTGCAAAGAAACTAACAAAACTGCAAAAATGTACGTGTTTCCAAAATACGATAAGGTATGTATCTTAGATAAAAGAAAAATATATGGTATGTATTCGTTGTTTGATTTTTTTTCGTTCGCTTTAAAATCTATAAATCTCGGTCGATTCATTAGACAGCCAGTCGACTGACGATCATTTACATGAAACTCTGTAAAATAAATAAAAAAATAAATTGTAAAATATATATATTCTTATTTTTTATTAAAGTTACTCTGATATACTAATATATCAGTATAACTTTAAAAATAAATCCTTTGAATTCAAATATAAACATAAAAAATATTTACAGCAGAAAAGGCGAAGGCGCTGGGTTAAACGTAGTCTCCACTAAAAACACGGAGGGGCGCTTTGACCCAAAATTTTACTATTAAGTTTCATATCTATCTTAATAGTAGATTATTTTCTTTTATCTATGCCTTGGTGACATGTCACCCTCGGCATTCCGAACGTCATATTTACCTGTCCCGCTGGGAGCAGGACCAGATTTGAGTTGTTTGGCAAAAGCCTGCTACACTTATCAGACCTTGGTGACATGTCACCCTCGGATATAACAACCTATATTAAAAAGTTAGGTCTTGGGAATGAAACGCAATATACAATAAGAAATAATTTACTCTTTATCTTTACTCTTTTTAATCAAAGCTTCATAGTACAACCTCGTATCTAGTTTCGTCTCTTCTTACAACTGTACACTGAGGTTTGCATTTCTTTTTATCGACGCAGACATATAGACAGCCGGTCGTTTCATGTCAGGATGGAAACATTGAACAGGCAATGCGGGAATATCAAAGGCGGCGCGCAGATGAAAGAGGCCCGAATTTCCACGTTTCCATTGACACGTGCCCCGTTGTTTTCCTACCGAAAAGAGATTTGCAAAGATAAAGAGAGGAAAATAATGGACAAAGAAGAGAAAGTCCGGTTTAATATTTCACAGAACCGGTTTAAAATGTCTTCTTTTTCGGTGTGTCTGGAAATACAGAATGATAAAGAAAATAAACTAGATAGGGTAGAGATTTTTTATGGCTTTGTCTATATGTTTTTACAGTTTTTTTCTCTCTCTTTTTTATATGTTTTGTCGCTTCTCAAACCTCTGCCTCCATATGTTACAGTATTTTCCACTATTGCTATGTATACTCTAATTTTGGTAGCATCTTTTATTTGGTTGCTCCACAGAACTGAGTTTAGCTGTTTAGTTACAATTCTCCCTTGATTTATTCTGCTGTTAATTTCATGTAGTACTAGTCATTACTGAGCCATGGTATTTGCACTTAAAGTTTACACCCTTAATTGCACCTTTTTGCAAATAAAAATTCTTTGTACAAGTCCATCTCCACTGTATTCAGTTTTATCAGTGTTTATGGTTAAGCCCTATTTGTCGAATTCTTCGTCTAGTTGTCTAAGCATATAAATGTAGAATGTTTAGGACGGGAGTTAATCACCGCGACCTTACAGATCTATTGTGTGTTCCCATTTCTTGAGTTATAACGAGTTATAACTCATCATACAGTCTCAGGGCTTTAACAAAAGCCAGTATTTTAGACGGCTTTACAGAGGCCAGCTCTCCAACCTCGACATCAGCCGTTCATGGCACGAACGGTTATTGCCTCGGCGCACTCAGTGATAAGGTATTTTAGTGTTTCTCCATTTTCTCTCAGAATCTGCATTCGCCGTTTTTCCTCAGCTTCGGCCTACTGAGGTGTTCGTTGAGGAGTCAGTGTCCTGTTAGAAACCCCGTGACAATCCGAAGATTGTTTTTACTTAAATCAAGGAAAATCTGTTCTCGGTCGGAAGTTGTAAGGAAACTTTTTCGAGTGTCTTAAACCTTTGTCTCAGACCGAGGATTCCCATTCCAGGTTACGGATGGAGTCTTCCGCCTTCAGTTGGTTTCCGCTTGGAAAACAGGACGGTTCTGGTCCAGTTAGTGGAGTGTTCGTTCCTTTTCCAGCTAGATTATTTGCTTTTTCATTGCCTTCTATCCCTTGGTGAGCGGGCACCCAGAATAGGAGGACTTTATTTTCTTTACCTAATTTGGTCAGCTTCTCTAGGCATTCTTTGACCAACTTCGAATTGATGGTTACTGAGTTGATTGCATTTAGTGCTGTTTGACTATCGGATAAGATGGATATTTCCAGTTTTCTCCTATCTAATTTCTCCAGTATATCCTATCTAAGATAAATTGTACGCATCTTTCGATAGTGTAGATTTCTGCCTGAAGGATGCTGGGGTAGGTGTCCATTGGTTCGGAGTATTTAGTTTTCGGCCCAAATACTCCTATCCCTGTACCAGCTTTGGTTTTGGAAATATCAGTATACCACGTTATAGTATGGTATTTTACATGCTGAGCAAACATTTCTCCCTTCCAATCCTTTTTATTACCAGTACAACAGCGAGGTGTTTCACAAAGTTGTAGATTCTTGGTATGTCATCTACTGGGAGTTGGAGAAGTGGAATTTTCTTTTTGCCTCTATACAAAAGTGCTTCGTTTGTACCCTAGAGGGCATCAAGCTTTAAAAAAATAAACACATTTTTTCAGATATTTTAAGAATCGTTATTCCGATTTGAATGAGCTTTTGGATATGTATGTTTTGCTAAATGCTTTAACATTTTTTTCCAGTACCGTTTCCGTCAATGACTATTCTAATCATTGTCTCATTGGCATAATATCTAAGCATATAATCCACATCATCTTCATCCTCAGCGATAATAACTTGATCATAAGCGTAATTTAGTGTAAAGAGTTTCTCTCTGCCTACTTTTGTTTCCATGTATTATAAGAATACTATTCTTATTATTATAAGAATAATTTTATATATTCTTTATTATTATTAATGTTGATTGCTCATAAAAACTAAGAAGTTTTTTTTTATATTCCAGCTCCACTCGCTGTTCTCAACAACGACATATCAAACAGTTTTGAAGAGGACGAGGCTTCACCAATATTGGACGACGATTTTACAACAAGGGGCATGGCTAGACTCAGTTCAGCAGCTACGTGTTTGGTGGCAGGTGTCGAATATACACATGGACAGCAGGTATTTGATTAAAGTTTCTATGTATCATAAGATTTTTAATAATAATAGTCTCCCATATACTACATAAATTCTTAATAAACTCACCGGCAAAAAAAACCGGCCACTAAAAACTAGTCCCCAATTTCAAAGTTGGATTTCTCGAGAGCCACTCATTAGATTTTAATGATTTTTTTAAATTGTAAATTAATTCCTTCTTAACGGATGCTACGTCAGAAATTTCTATTCCGAATTTATTTTGAGCATATACAAGGCACAACAATGAGACGAAGTTTTTTGCCCGAACTTTGCAACACCCTGTAGTGTGTAGCAGCTATAGTAGCTATTGCTAAATCAAATTACATTGTAGCCTCATCTTTTGTGAGTATTTTTTTTTAATCAAGACATTGTCTCCGTTTGTATTGGAGATACGCTGCTTTAAAATGAACGTCTCGGAAAAATGCTTCGCAGGCAGAAAGTTTTACCTGTAAATAATCAAGGCGACATAGACGAAAAGGGATTTATGAATATTTGCAATATGACAACAACGGTTGTCAAATTAAAAAAATACCATTGTCTGTGACGGATATTGCTCATATTGTGGCTTTAATTGGGGATGGCCGAAGTTAACGTTATGTGTCCGATACCCTGGGTATACCTTGAACAACAGTCCAGGATGCCTGGAATCAGTATATGGAAAAGGGAAATTTCACCAAGCGAGTGGGTTCCGGAAGAAAACGGAAGAAAAATACAATTGACGACCGCTTTATTATCCTGGATACTTTACGAAATCGTAGAATTGCAGCGTTTCAGAATCAACATCTGCTACAAGCCGTGTGTAGAACTCAAGTCAGTGAGAGAACACTCCGACGAAGACTAAAAGAAAACAGCTAGTCTGCAAGGAGGCCTGCCACAGGACCCCAACTACTTCCAAGACATTGTCAAGCACGTCTTCAGTTTGCGCGTTTACATGTGAATTGGGATATTGAGTTATGGACTAAATCTTTTTTCGAGGCGTTTGTTTTAAAGCAGCGTATCTCGAATACAGAGATAATGTCGTGATTAAAAAAACAAAATGCTCACAAAAGACGAGGCTACAATGTGATTTGCTTTAGCAATAACTACTACAGCTGCTGCACCCTACAGGGTGTTACAAGGTTTGGGCAAAAAACTTCGGCTTATTGTTGTGCCCTGTATATGCTCAAAATAAATTCGGAATAGAAATTTCTGACGTACCATCCGTTAAGAAGGAATGAATTTACAATTTAAAAATAAAATCATCAAAACCTAATGAGTGGTTTACGAGAAATCCAACTTTGAAATTGGACTAGTTTTTAGTGGCCGGTTTTTTTTGCCGGTGAGTGTATATCAAAATATAGTTTATTTCAGTAAAGTTACCGGAATACCAGAAAGGTATGGTGGCCAGCATAAAGGTTGATTCTCACTATACCTTCCGTTTCCATTTCATATCCGTTCCCTATTTTTTATTTTATTGACGCTATACGTAAGCTTCCGTTCCGTATCAGTTCGATAATTTATATTGTAAAATTTATATTATTACGAAAGTTTTATTTTAAAAATTTGTATCTTTTGAAAAGGGTAATAGATTTAATTAAGAGGTGAAAGAATGAATAAATATTAGCAAAATTTGAACAGAGCTGGTACAAATCTTGAAAACGCTATTTCCGATACGCTTCAGACCGTCCGCCAAAAAAATATATGGAAGGAAAGGATATGGAACGGAAGGGAATCGGAACGGATAGTGTGCATTGTCCTACTCATTTACATGATATAATATTTTATGTAAACGGAGGGGAAACGGAAGGGAGCTGATATGGAAGGTATAGGTCCACTATTACCTTGGTATTGTAAAAAGAGTAACATTGAAAAATCAATAAAACCAAAAACTATATTCTATTTTTATTAGAATTAAATTTTATTTAATTTAAACATAAGTAAATTATTTGCAGTTGAAAAATCGTGATAACAAATCAATTTTTTCGTCCGTATTATTTTTTATTATTTATTCAACATTTATTTCTTTTCGTTTCGGCTGTTTTACTAAAATTTTAAAGAGAAACGTTGTATTAACATATTCTCAAAGGATATGCATGGCGTACCATGAATTTTTCTTTCTTTTATCTTTTGAAACTGTTTCACCTTTGATTTTCCACAATTTCTGTTTACTTTTGACGACAGGAGGAATATGCCCCCTTCTCACTTAAAGTGAATCTTATTGGTTAGAGCTTCTTGTCCAAGTAAAATCTTTTTCGCATGTATTTTACCTCAGCTGGATTTCCTGCGTAAAATCTTTTGATATTTAAATATTGGATTAATATAAATTATATATCATTTTTGGTAATTTTAAAATTACTTATTAGTATGTGTTGGGGTTATACAGGGTGGCCCATCAAAAACGTTCCCCAAGGCATAACGGCCAGGGTATTTTTTTTTTCCGAAAATCCAAAAACACGTCAATTTTGTTTGTGAAGGGGACAACTTTTGCCCCAAAAATGATTGCAAAATCTTCGACCCTCTAAGCGGGGGTGTCATCCCCCAACTTTTTTCAAATGGGAAGGGAGTTCAAGTGGCACCGCAATGAAAAGAGCTTTCAATTCTCTATATTTCCCCGCTTCGTTTTTAAAAATCGGTAGTCATTGAGAAAATATGAAGGATTGAAATTTGAAAAGTTTATTTAAACATTTATCAGAGTAAATGATAAGGATAAATTCCTTCGACCAATTTGCTCTTTTTTCTTATTATTTCTAGATGTTTATGCATTTTTTCACTTGCCACAAGGTTGAACGATCAGGTGCGGTAGTTGCTAGATAGCTGTTCTGCGACTTGTGCCTTGAAGTTTTTCTCAATATCGTTAAACTTTTTAACAATTATGGTGTACTCACTTGCAGAAAAAGTGGATATAATCGAACTTTATTTTAAAAATAATGAATGTGGCAATCGGTTTGCGCAGATATTCAATGAACGCCATCCTGACAAACACCTTTATATCATGGCTTTATAACATGGCAAGATTGTTCGCGATTTAGTAGCAAAATTTTACGAAACTGGTTCCGTTATGAATAAAAAGAGGCAGAGGGAAAATCCTATAGTAAATGAAGCTATGGAGGTATTCGTATCGGGCCAACTTGCCATGGATAGTACGCTGAGTACAAGAAAATTAGCCAATGAGACGGCAACCGGCGTGAATCGTACAAGTGTCCAAACGATATTAAAAAAACACAAGTTCCACACGTACAAAATTCAGTTGGTACAAGAACTCAACGAAGACGGTTTTGATCGTCGCGGGCTGGTATTTTTGGAAATTCTATTGTAGGTCAGTTTAACGATATTGAGACCGCACCTGATCGTTCAACCTTGTGGCAAGTGCGTAAACATCTAGAAATAATAAGAAAAAAGAGCAAATTGGTCGAAGGAATTTATCCTTATCATTTACTCTGATAAATGTTTAAATAAACTTTTCAAATTTCAATCCTTCACATTTTCTCAATGACTCGACCGATTTTCAAAAACGAAGCAGGGAAATATAGGTAATAGAAAGCTCTTTTCATTGGGGTGCCACTTGACCCCCCTTCCTATTTGAAAAAAGTTGGGGGATGACACCCCCGCTTAGAGGGTTGAAGATTTTGCAATCATTTTTGGGGCAAAAGTTGTCCCCCTCACAAACAAAATTGACGTGTTTTTGGATTTTTTGAAAAAAAAAATATCCTGGCTGTTATGTCTTGCGGGACGTTTTCGATGGGCCACCCTGTATATCAAATGATAAGAAATAAAAATACAACCAATTGATAAGAACTAGTTCTTCATAACAAGTTTGGTTTGTATAAATATTAGTAACATTTTCGAAATTTGATCCCAACTAAACTTTTAGTTACGTAATCGACGCAGCGATTCTTAAATTAATTGTTGCCAACCATGGACATATTCGGCGCCGGGCTGACTAATTGGAATTTAAATTTCCCGCTGGGAATTCAGGTGATAGTTCTGCTGTAAAAAATGTTTCCACATTTATTTATTTATTTCCTGACAATGTCATTCTTCTTGACACTTTAGTTTTGCATTACGAGTTATTGGTTTTAATAAATTGTGTTGTGATACTTTAACCAAACCAAACCTTGTAGTGGAACATTGCTCTTTTTAGAACCTCTTTTAGTGCGAAATGTACAGGGTGGGTCAAATTCGACGCTTTTAAATGGAAACACCCTTTTCTCAGCTTTCTCAGCTCAATTTTTGTCAAAAACATGATGGTGAAAACCGCATATCGATATCTAGTACCGTTTCGGAGTTACGGGGTGTTTTTCAAAAATATGCATTTTTAACAAATCGCTGTAGCTTTTTTGCTATGGAAAACTTTGTAATTTTATGAAAACATTTCCAAAGCACCTTTTTACGTAGAATTTAATGGTTTAAGTATAATTTTTTTAAAATTAATAATTTAAGATTTATCAACAGAAAATTTGATTTTTTATATGGGACACCCTGTATATTTTTAATTTATTGAAAAAAAATTATAATTACCTTTCTAAAAATATAACACACTTGATATTGTGCTCGATTCCTCTTCGAGATATAGAGTATATTCGCCCGCTTTAAATAAGTAGGCTTTGAACGGCACCGGCTGTAATGCAAAAAAAATTTAGCTGTGAGCATCAATTAAAACGAAAATAATATTTGCTATAAGAGATGCAGAATTTTATAACAATTTAAAATATATTTAACCAACATCAACACATTTAAACTATCTAATAACAATAAAAATAAATAGCAAACCAAGACATGAGATTTTGCTACAGGTGTTCAACATATCAACCGTCTTCTGTTATGGACAGACGAGGCAGTTTTTGAACATTTCTCGCGGAATTCATTAACTCAGTGGGGGTGAAAGATACCCTCTCATAACTGCTAAGTATTTCTAATTCTTGTCTAGATTATATGGAAGAATAAGGAACTTTTATTCTTCCGCAAATATATACATAGGATTAGATCCATGGGCATTAAGTCAGGCG